TATTATTATTATTATTATTATTATTATTATTATTATTATTATTATTATTATTATTATTATTATTATTATTATTATTATTATTATTATTATCTCAACCCTTGACCAAGTTTCCAGATATAATGATCCTGGCATTTCCCATCCCCCTTTTAATCACAGTAGCTGGTTGTCTATAGGGGAGCTGTATCAAGAATCCACAGATGTGCCAAATCAGGAACTGGGATTGTACAGAATAGATCATTGCCCCACTTTAGGCCATGGCTTCTTGCCTTTCTCCTTTTCTTTCTAACTTGAAACAAAAACTAGGCTTTTTGTTAAGTTTAATCAAATGTGGGCTTTGATTTAGTCGTTTATAATAATGTTGTTTCTTCAAGTCATTTTTCATGCCTGGCGACTGCCTGGAGAAATCGCTGTGGTTTACTTGGCAACCACAAAAAATAGCTTGCCAGTTTCTCCTTCCTAGAGCAGAGAGAATGACTGGCCCAACATTACTTTACTGGCTTCCTGCCTGAGGCAGTTCTAGTACTCAAGGTCTCTCAGTTTCTTTTGGGTGGGCACATTTTATGTCTGTGTTTATTGGTAAATCTCTGCAGGATTTGAAACTTAATCCACATTTTTTTTCTGAATCCCTGCTGTCCAGCAGTTGTAATAATTAAAAAACCTGTCCATTCTTTCAAAGTGAATTGTGAAAAACAGAATTTTTGGGAGAAACTAAATTAAGTTAGGTGAGAAGTCTTATAAGCTTTGTTCTAATCTTACCTAAACATCTAAGATAAGCATGAACGTTTTTGGTTTGTTAAACCATGTTTACCAAATATTTTAGTCCTCAATGTTTGGCTTTTCTTCTGCCTTTGATTCCTGACAACTGCCTGGAGTTCTTGCTGTTTTTCTGGCAATATTTTAGAGGTAGTTTGCCAATGCTTCCTTCATGGGGCTGAGAGAAAAGTGAATGGTCTAAAATCACCCAGCTGGCTCCATGCCTAAGGCAGGACTAGAACTAATAGTCTCCTGGTTTCTATCCTGGTGCCTTAAACACTAGACCAAACTGGTTCCAATTTTGGCTTACTGGGATCTAAATTAGATCATTATGTATTGTAAACTATGCTTTATAACTTAGCAAATTAAATGCATCCAGCCAACTGATTTTTGTTTTTGACAAAAGTGGTTAATATAAAACTTATTTTTTAACAATAATCACTGTGGTGTTGGGGTGCAGGTATTGGACTAAGATGTGGAGAGTCAAGTTCTGATTCATTCTCAGATATGGAATTTCACTATATATCTTAAGGCCAGCCATACTCTTAACCTAACTGGGATAAAATAGAGACCCTCATGGAAACTCTTGAACTCCTGTGGAAAAGGCAGGATGAACATTTAATAAATAGCAACACTACAGTATATAAGCACGGTCTTAGTAAGACACTAATCTCATATGACCCTCTTCAGTCCCTGGGTTCTTGGAGGTAAGCTGCAGATTTGATTTTGGTGGTGGGGATAAAACAAGTATAAAGAGGTTTGACATATCAAATGTACATTTATATTAAGAAGGCTATTTTGTTGTTTTCTTTCACAGATTCTTCTTGCTACTGTATTGCTTTCGTGGGGCTATGTCATTTACGCGACACGAATAGCAGCCAAATGGCAATTGGAGGAGTCGTATCCCATACAAGCCCAGAATACTTGAGACATCTCCAGAGTGGAATAGCACAGAAATACAGAGACATTCTAGAACTCCATAAATCATAATCTGCAAAAACATGGATTCCAAACAAGAGTGGTTGACTCAGGAGTAATATTGAAGCTTCAGAAATACAGATAAAGATAACAAAACAGCTGTGAACATCTGGTACAGTACTATTAACATATAATTGAAAAAAATATCCTTGAATTTCATTTTTTAAAAAGAGAATTTTACATTTTCTCCACTTTACTGCTTATTTTAATGTGGTTCAGAAGACTATGGCTACAAGGATAACTGCAAGCCCAAAGAGTCATTATTATGGAAAAATAACTAGATACTTTGTGCAAGAAACTGGTTTTCAAGTTAAAAGTTACACTCCTACACTGCTTTCAATGGTACAGAAATAAATGCCTGGATATCTATGGAAGGTTTGGCAAAAATGTATGTGGTATCCAGTGAAAATTTGAAGTTCAAAGATTGTTCAAGCTGTTTAATGCTATTCTGAAGACAAATCCTCATCATACTGGTATGTTTCATAAAATTAGGGACATTTTTAAAGGAATATTTAATTTTACTTCATAGTAATTTATATAAATTAAAGTATAACTTTAGTCTATTTTCTTTGGTTCACTACTTTTATTATATCAATTAAAGAATTGTTATTTTAACTGTGTGCTTGGTAGCCAATCTGTAATATTTTGAATTTACTCATTTGTTTAATTTTATCTGCAGCTTCTATAAAATCCAAAGTCAACTACTAAATCAGGAATACTAATAGATTCAATAGAAGTGTCAATAATATCTACAATATACCCCAAAGTTGAATAAAAGTTGTCCCCAAACAACAGATCAATTAATCTGTTAAGTATAATCAGTTAGTTGTATATCAAATATCTGTATGGCAGGGCAACAATTTGACTTTTGGCCAGGGCATTCTGTTTTATTTATTTATTTGACTTTTGGCCAGGGCATTCTGTTTTATTTATTTATTTATTGGGCAGGAAAATTCCAAAACTAATCTAGGTTTATAACCAATATTAGTTGATCCTAGATTAACATTTAACCTGATCTAATGTGGACATAAATTATGATCTACATATCTACTGCTCTTGATGTCAAAATAATGTGAACACATCTCTTGGCGTTCATAGCAGTAGCGAAGGGCACCTGCTTAAAAAAAAATCCAAATTTTTGGGGCTAGGCAAGGATGTATCCTGGCTCCATTATTGTTCAATTTTTATATTAATCCACTTGGTGCTTGTTTAGATTATCTTCCACAAATTTTGACTGTTTTATGCAGATGTCAGGCCATTCTAAAACGCCTGTCCTCATTTAGCAATCACAATTGGGACAGACAACTCAGTTGTTAAATGGGTTTGCTAAGTGAAATGATGACTGCTTAAGTTCTTACTTTGGCTTTCCTTTGTTTTACAGACCTGCGAATGTTGTAAATGAGAGGACTGGTCGCACTTTTTCATTGCTTTCAGAACTGAACAGTTGCTGCACAAGGCAGATGCCAAATGAGAACCACCTGTAGATCCTGTAAATTTAGGAAGTGGTATATGCTCTTGCTAGCTCCTGTGACAATCTATCATTGCAGATTAATGATAACACTAGCAAAGTAATGCTATTCACTAACAAGCACAAGAGGGTAAATTATCGCATGATCAGAGTTTACTGTAAGTAACGTGACCCAGAAGTATGTCAGACAATGATTATTTGATAAGGAAACTGAGGCCGGTTTCATTCTACTGATATCTTAGAAAACCAGGTATTCAGTCATAAGGCTGCCGGAGACCTTAATTTGATTTTAATGCTTCTAGCGTTAAAAAAATAAAATGAATCGCAGTTCATGACTTAGGAGGACTAGTCACATGAAGTTTTTAGTTGTGGGACCTACATAGTACAGTACTACGGTAATTTAATAACGGCCAACCATGCCCTTGTGATGTCAGTTCTTTTATCTGGATAAATGGTAATGTGTCACATCTTCACCCAAATGAGATTTATTAGCCTACTGAAAATTTGTGCATATATTACTTTTAACAAATCATTTCTGGCTTTAGCTTTTAAACTGAAATAAGCATATAACAAAAACTAAACCAAATCTGATTAGGGTAAGTTTTTTTAAAATCTTTGGGGAAGGCTGTATATGGGATTGATCTACACTGTCACTAATGAATAGGCTATGTAAACAGAGCAAAGCCCACACCTTTCTAATACTGAAGACGTTACCTAGTGACTGATAATGAAACAAGCAAACAACCAAACTTAGAAAACACCAAAGACTCCAAGGTCACATTTTAATTAATTTATTAATTTATTTATTTCATAAAACGAGTTATTCCTTACGCTTTACAGCAAAGTTAAAAACAGTTAACAAAAACAAATACTAAAAACATTAAAAACAATACAAACTAAGGCCTTTTCATCCTGCTATGTAAGATAAACAATATGCACAAGGACACCTACCTATTGGTTAAAGTACAAAGCAAAAAATTGCAACTCAGAGGAAAGATGTAAGACTTTAGTAATACTTAACATAAATACAAGTAATCCTTGAGGGATGAACCTACTGGAGCCTGCCCGTTAGGATCGTAAGTCAAAAATGTCGTAAAATGAATTGGCCTCAATTTTATGACAATTTAATTTACTAAAATTGTTATTCTTTATGCCTTACAGCAAAGTTCAAAGCAATAGTAAACAAGTAATTATTAAAAACATTCTTCCTAACTTCTTTCACCGCTTCAGGTGTCGAGGGAGATACAACGTTCTGGTTCTTAATCTTCTGGTGGCTTCAACTATTGTTAATTAAAAACATTAAAAACTTAAGGCCTTTTCATTGAGCTACATAAAGTAAGCAATATGTATAAGGACATCTAAATATTAAACTACAAAGCAAAAGCTTGTAACAAAGAGGAGAACTATTCTAGGAATATTTAACAAGGACTATATATTAATTTAAAATGCTTCTCTTAATTTATCGTCTTTTCCCACTTCTCTCATTTTCTCAATGGAGAGACATTATTCTTAAGATTGGCAGCACCATCTCTGCACCTGGCAGAGGATGGTGATGCAGATCTACTAGCATCAGTTATCACTAAAGCTGTGCAATTGGATAGGCTGCACTTGAATCTTCTTCCCAGTGCTATTCCCACTATATTCCTGCTTATCGGCAAAACCATCTCCATTTGACTCGATCCAGGGCATCTTCAGGGGCAACGGCCACATATTTCATGTCCATCTTGATGCAATCCATCTACCTTTTCTTGGGTCTGCCACGGTTACTGGCCATCAGGATCCAGAGGCATGGCGGTCCTCCCCACCGAGTCTTTTTTACCATGTACAATATGTCCGTACCATCTAAGTCTTCCTTCCCACATTTTTGCTACAAGATGGAAGACTTGGAGCAGGGATGTCAAACTTGCCACATCACGTACTTTTTTCCCCTTGCCGGAGCTGAGGTGGGTGCGGTTTCCGTGT